GGGGGGGGGGGGGGGGGGGCGGGGAGGAGCTATTCTCCATCTAATATAGCCAAAGTGGCAGCACCCTGGGAAAAGATGCCTCAGGGTCCTTCACATTCAGTCACCAGCCCTGTTTACCTGTTGGCCAGGCCAGGTGTCAGGCCATCCCATGGGGGAGGCAAGTCTGGAACTAGAGTGCTGTAGGTTTGCTTTTCTTGAAACCCCACAGACCCACAGACTGGGCAGAGGCAGGTGGACAGGAGAAGTCTGCCAATCTGTGAAAAGCAGTGGCCTTTGGGATGCTATGCCTCTGCCTGCCTGCACAGCCAAGCCATTTGACCTTGAGGGCTAAAACCCTCCCATCCAGCTCCAATATTAAAAATTCCTCAAATAAACTCAATCCATAGTTAGGCAGGTAGGATTTCTAAGGCTGGGAGATTCCTCTAAATTGTGGATGCCTTGAGGAAATAAAAACCTTCAACAAATAAAAATCTATCCTCCCTAGTGTCTTAACAGTATACCTTTAGGTTTTATTTAAACTATGTGGGAATCCTTTTATATTGACAACAATCCTGTTATGCAAAGATTTTCAGTAGCCTATGCTTACACGAAAGAAAGGGGTAAAAAAGGAAGAAAAGAAGAAAATATCTCCCTTCCAAAATACAGCAGGTAAACAGGTTTTTGCTTTGAATGGAATCAGCATTCTCTCCCAGAATAAACAGTTTCTTGCCCTGGGCCATGCAAGGCTCCAGCAATCTGCTTCGGTGCCAGGGACAGGCTTGTGGCCGAGGGGCCTAAATCTTTCAGGGCTTTTTGCGCCTGATTACCAAGAGGTTGGAAAGGCAGGAGAGAGGAGGGGGAAGTGGCTCAAAAGGAATACCAGGTAAGAGTTCAAAATTATTGAATATTTAAAATCAAATGCTAAAGCCTAGCGAATTTCCCATAGAAGAGTGTATGCTGTCCTGTAATAGAGGGGAAAGACTGAAGGGAGGGAAGCAAGGCTTTGGGGTGGAAGGGGTGCATTACCTCCCCACCCCCGCTTTTCTTCCAGTCCCAGCTGCTCGAGAAAGGAGAGCGCTGGGAAAGGAAACAGAGCGGAATCGCCCACATTAGCCTCGCTCTTCGGTGACCGGAGCCTCTGGGCTTGTGGGAGCGTCTCCTTTCTAATGCCAGTGACAGCGATACTGAGGGTAATTTTCTCTTCCTCCCCCACACCTTTTCAGGCAACTCTGTAAAGAATTTACGGATCTTCTGGCGCAGGACCGGACGCCGATCGGGAACAGCCGGCCCAGCCCCATCCTGGAGCCGGGGATCCAGAGCTGCCTCACGCACTTCAGCCTCATTACGCACGGCTTCGGCGCCCCGGCCATTTGCGCCGCGCTCACGGCCCTGCAGAACTATCTCACCGAGGCGCTCAAAGGCATGGACAAGATGTTCTTGAACAACACCACAACTAACAGGCACACGTCTGGGGAAGGCCCAGGTAGTAAAACTGGCGACAAGGAGGAGAAACACAGGAAATGAAAAAAATTTTTAAAAAAGAAGGAAAAGTGTTTTAAATACAAAAGGAAAACAGAAAAAAAAAATCTAATTTTAGCTTTAAAATATTGGATTGGCTTTGGAAGAATTATATTAGGTAGAATACACATACAATCAAAATTTAAAAAAAAAAAAGCTAAATAACTTTTAAAAAACTGAGGCGTACAACGGAGCAACAATATCGGTTCTCAGTGTCTATTTCAAGATACACTTGGAGACAACCGTCCGGATTTTCCACTTCGGTTCTTTCGAGCTTAGTAATACTGATAATAAAAGAAAACCATGATTTCCCCTCCCTTTGGAAAATAAACATAAGACTAAACATGAGAAAACGCTAACTTATTGGAAGAAAATCGGAGAAACGTTGGTGTCAGTGCTTTGAGAGCTGGTTGACTGAGACGCACGAACTTCTTAATTTTTAATATTTTTTTAGGAAACTCTCTTGCAGTCCCCACCCTCCACCTCACCCTTCTCCCCAGCCACCCTTTTCTACGTTGCCCTTTCTGCCTCACACTGTTACGGGAATCTTTGGGATGGGAAATAGTGTGGTTAGCCCTTTTGCGTTGTTTCAGTCCCCTCGGAACCCCTGCCCTGCATTCTTAACTCACCGGTGCCCAGCTCCCTGGCCACTTGCATAATTAGGGAGGGTGAGGGCGGGTGGGGCGGGAGGCCTGCCAAGAGGCAGGCGGAGGCTGCAGCTTTTGGTGCCGGCCAGCCGAGCAGAGGTTCCTGCGGCTGAGGAAAATCCGGACCAATAAGTTGATTCAGAATCACCAACGATTCCTCAGAAATGTCACTAGTTCCCAGCCTTGCCATCATCTGCATACAGAGAATCTTGCATTTGTTATTATATTTGTGTCATCTACCAATTTTAAGAACTATAGTAAAAACAAAAACAAAAACAAAACACTATGAATACGTTGATTAGTATGTAATTCCTTCGAAGGGGTATGTACCATTTCATTCTCTTCTGTTTTCCAAAGCTTTGCCCGCATGGTTTATGAGCTTCTTCAAAGAGGACTTGGGCTTCCTACACAATCTATAAGGTACAGAGAAAAAAAAAAAAATCCGATCCCTTTTTAATCAAAGCCCGTTGTGTCAGAATTCTGCAGGTGCACTTCTTTAAAGAAGCTCAAAGGGAATAATTTAGAAAGTGGCCAGCCGATATGATGGAAGCAGCTTTGAGTTTACTTGCTAACATACCTCAACATCAGAATTCCGGCAGGGATAGAGGGGGAGTGGGCTGCAAAATGAAATTTAAGGGAAAAGAGTAAGGTGTCTTGGAGTCCTATATTCTAACAGTATTGCCCTGCATTTATAATGCATTCGAATTCCCTGGGCTCTTTGGAAATTGCTGTTTTAACGTGGAAAGAGCAGCTTTGCAAGTGGACGTGGGCAGGAGGATGGCACAAGCTCCTGTGTTTCTGCAACAATTGCTTTCTTACAAGATGCTTTATGGATGAGGCATTTTTCCCTTCCAGATGTACACTAATTTGGGCATATAATGGTAAAATAATGCAAAGTGAAAGGAGATGTATTTCGGTTTTTAATTTTACCGTCTGGATACACTGGGACTATTCCCAGTGGATACAGTTTCATGTGTTTAATATTTCTCACTTCTGGCAGTCCACCTCCTTTCTCGGGCTTCATTTTAGCATTATCATAAAATAAGATCTGGAACCCATTGTCCCCACATTCCCCAAAGCAGCAACAAATCCCCCGGGGTAGGGGTGAGTGAGATAGGTCCCTAAATTTAGTGTAGATACAGGAACCTCTTTAAACAAAGTAGCCAGGACTTTGCAACATCTTGGAAGATAAAGATCCAGATGTTGTCCTGCAGGATTTACAGTTAGGACCCACTCAAATACCTAAGACTCTCAGTCCCTTACCCCCCCCCCCTTCCAACTAGCCTTGGGGTGAGTGGAGAGGGTGGGTTTTTAGAAACCTGCTGAGAGCTTTGCCCAGACAGTTTTTAATTGGGGGAGAGGTGAGGGGAGGAGGGGAGGAATGGAAGGAAGTTATGAAGCTGTTTTTAAGTCACCTGAAGGGCCCAAGCAACGGGTAAGATCACACCGCAATCCATCTCCTATCCCCAGAGCCTTTGGAGGCCTCTGGGTCAGCAGGGCCCAGCCCTAGAACGTGTCGTTGAGGGGAGTACAAAGGCCAGGAACTAGACCTTACGGAGAGTGTAGACGCTCCCTCTGTCCCCAGTTCAGAAATCCGCACCTTTGTCCGAGGGCCTGGCCGCTTGCATTAGATGTATTCTGACTGCACAAGGCCTGGAGAAACCACACTGAAAACCATCGTCTCCTTTCCTTGCAGGGCATCGCGCCCCACGCGTGTGACGTGCGAGAGACGCGATGGACGCGCCTTGCTCTTACTGTGCAGGTCCTGAGAGCGTGTGGGCCACTCGCGCCCAGTCGTGTTGAGGACATAGAATCAGCCACTGGAGGGGCCGCCGGCCGCGCGGGCCCTTCCCGCTCTCGGTCTCACCCTAAGGGCTAAGACGACCGAGAAAGCCCCATTCTCCAGTAGGTAATCGGGCGGTACCCCGCGGGCTGCAGGCGGGGAGGGGTCCCAGCGCCGCTTAAGCTCTTTGCTATCAGCGGCAACCCCGGGCGCCTGCTCCCGGAGGGAGAGTGGCCTAGAAATGTCGAAGACAGCAGAAGCTTCCCCTCCTTCTACGCCTCTACCAGGATAGAAAGGCTTCCCACCTTCTAGCTCCTAAAGGGGGGACATGGGGTGGGAATTGTCCTACTAGGCTATGCAGGCTCCCTTCAGTGTCCTACCGTCCCTCGCGTGACCCAGCTACATAGAACCCCCTGTGCGCCCCCACCCCCCCGCACCCTCCAGCCGCGTGGAGTGAGCGCATTGCCCCTCTCCCTCCCTCACTTTTCCTTTCATGTAGGTCCCCCGCCCCCTTGCTTTCGTTAGCCAAGCCCGCTACGTTTATCTGATAATTGAGTTATTAAAAGATTTGGTTTCCTTGGGCCTATAAATCAATAAACAGTGGGATTAACGCAAGAGTTTGCCTTTTAAGTCAAGGGAAACGTTTAAGGCAAACCCCTTTGAGCTTTGTTTTCAAACCAAACAGGTGAGTTGCAGCTCTCCCCCATCCCCTCCCTCTAGTTATTTTATCCTTGCCGCATGTCTCCTCCTAAATGCTCGGTCCCAAATTAAAATAGCTAAAGATGGAAAGGAGAAATCGGGATGTGGCACTGCTGCCCCCACAACTTTCCACTTTGTAAGTTCCTTTGGAGGTTCTGCAGATCTCCAGGCCATTCTCTGTCCAACCCTGCCTCTTCCTACAACTATTGTGGGTCTCAGGGGAGCAAGGAAGGAGCTGTCCTGGGTGAGGATTCCATCATTGAAGGGATTTTTAATCCTCCCCCCCAAACTGAAAAGGTAACTTCCCTCCACCCCCCACCCCCAATTATCTAGCATTTTCTTTCCTTCTTTCTGGCCTCCACATCCTTAGCTTTCTCCACCCCCTCACACAGAACCGAAGAGGCTTTCAAAGACCTGTATGTTTTGTTTTCTTTGGCCAAGGAAACCACTTTCTCTCAAGCAATTATTTCATATCCTATGAAAACTTTGGTCAAATGAAAAACCCCAAACCCGAACTTATCTACACACTGTTCCTCTGGTACAATGCATTCCTAGTTAAAGTGTTTATAGAGAGTTTGTCATCCTATCTGATATCCTGTACTTGTAATACATTATGTGGAAAGGAAATAATAACCTTAAACCATGTGATGTTGCCTCAACAGCCCAAATAGCGATTCCCTCCTTTGCCAGTCAGTTAAATTATTGGCGTAAAAAAAAATACTAAAATTCGTTTTGTTTTCTTTCAAAAAATGGAATGAACACTATCCTTCTTTAAATGCCAAAATCTACTCCTCTTCTAACTAGTCTCTAGTTCACCAACATTGTTTTTGCCACACAATCGAGAATTATCAATCTATTGACTCTTCACAAGGAGAGCTTTGGAGGGTATTCATGTTAAGTTTGTACATATTTATTTATGCTTAATTTAATGGGAATGTGTAAATATGGTGAGCAAGTAGTTTGGGATTATTTATCTGTGAATCTATACCTCTGTGAATGGGTGGTTAAAAACAAAAAACCGCTTGACTCTAGGTAGAATCCTATCTGAATTTTTCTGTTCTTTATAGACAAGCTGTTATGGTAATGGGTAGAAATTGGTTTATTGTCCAGTGTTGATCTGATTTACATAAATAAAAAGATTGTTGTGTTTTTGTTGTGTTTTCATCTTCAGTTTTTAAAATATGCAGATTGTTTAATTCCAGAGACAAAAAGTACAACAAGATTTTTTCTTTTTGTTCCCCTCACTGAAGCACACACAGCATTTTTGTTACAACAGAAATACAATAAATTTTGCTTCTCAGAAAAACGACACTTTTGTTTTCACTAGGAGGTGTTTTGGATTTTTTAGAATCCAAATTGACACTCTTCTCTCCTATTTCTAACCAGATTTACAATAAAAGTTTGTTTTAACTGAATCTTTTGGTTTATTTTGCCCTTTTAAAAAAATGAGGAGTCAAATTTACTTTTCAGGTAAAGGACTCTGGGTCCAAGTCAGAGATGACACTCCCTTCCTACTGCTAGTGGGTGGTGTTCTAGCATGGTGTTCCCAGAAGATGTGCAGGAGAGAAGTCTTCAGGGATGGGTGTGGACTTCTGCACCCGCATGCTTGGGATCTGGCGTTAACTGCCCAATTTGAGGACTGAACCTGAACCTGACCTCATTAGCCATGCAGGGCCCTCCATAAACAAATGACTCTGATGACTAAGAAAAGAGGCATAGATGTCTTAGGAGGCTACCTAGAGAAGCCAGACCTTTTCTCATTTGGGTTAATGATCTTCAGTGATCAAACATCTCAATCTGTATTTTATCCCAAGGCTTGAGTGTCTTCCCTGAGGCCAGGAAAGCAAAGTCATCCTAGATGCTATACAGTTTGGATGAGACACTCCTTCTTTTGAGGCCTCAAAGTCTTTATCGGTAAAATACGAATCGAACCTCCTAAGATCCTTTCTTATATCAATATTGCCTAATTTAATTACTTTATAAAAAGCAGAAACTGCAAAATGTATATAATGGTACTTCAAAATGTTAGTGAAAAAATAGAATTGAAAGAATATTTTCATGAACACGTGTTTAAAGAGAATCGGAAACATTAAATCTCGATAACCCTAGATTATATGAGAGTGCTTAGCATATAATTGGTGCTCAGTTTATTAATATGCCTCCCATACCAATTTTCTGTTTTTCAGGTGACTCTTCTAGTTGAACTTGCCTATAGGGAATGGCAGAAGGGACAATGGAATCCACTTTATGTGAGATTTTTCCCTTCCTATTTTACTTATTAATTAAAAGGAGTGAGGGGTAAATAAAAATTTAACGAAAAAAAAGGGGGGGTGAGGGGTATCATGGCTAGGACTATAAACAACGGAATAAAGGGAAAGCAAAAAATAAAAATAAAAAAAAGGTAAGTAGAAGAAAGCAAAGAAAACCAAGGAAGTGTGATTATGAGTGTATGCAATCCATTTATCTAGAAAAAAATAGGTATATGACTTAGTTTCTAGCTTAATTGTGTCACACTGAGTTTCCTTTTCATTTGCTTTGCAGAGAGTTTGGGGTCGGTTGCCACTGAGATTATACAAGGGGGGAGTAGGTAATTTCTATATGTATGGCAAGCTTTTCTACAGAAGGTTAGCACCAGCCCTGTATAAACAGACCTGCAATCTGTTACCCCACAAGTGAACCAGGGATCCCGGGCGCCAAAACTATAAGCCACCAGGGAGTCGCTGGTCTGGTGGGTTGTGTCCCTTTGTGAGGGCGCTCAGGGCCCCAATGCAAGCTGCCTTCCACGCTCGGGCTTCGAGGCCGGTTGTCTGTCATTTTGAAGCCTCAGAAATGAAACGTGTAGCTCAGAAGTCCATTAATTTCAGCTTCTCATTAATCTATTTATAAGTGAGCCATCCCTGGCTCTATAAATACAATCCTATAAAATTGAACTCCTTCCCATAAATCTTCCAAGTTGTTTATTTACATGTATTCTCCGGCCTTCTAATGATCCTCGTGTAAACTTGGGGAAGACTCGGGCAGACCCGGCCCACGACGGGGTGTGCTCACACCTCCATTCCCTCTCGCTGGAATCGTGGCCTCCTAGGGGGAGGACGAAATTGCGCGCAGGCGGAGCGGGTGAGATAGAAAAGGGAGCGCGAAAACTCATTTTTCCTTCTTGACTTTGTTTCCTTGTTTCTATCCCAAACTCACACTCTCCATACGAGTTATTTCCCATCACAAGTTCCACATTGATTTATATCGTCATAAATAGCATTCCTGTGACTGTAGCTCCTCTCATAGCTTGGGGTGAGTTCCTTTTTCACTTCCCTGGCAGACTCTACTTTTAAGTCAGGCCTCATAAATAACCCCTTAGGCTTCCTTCGGATGAGCTCAGTCAAACGTCTCCCTGGGTCCGCTTTCCTGATTAGAGTTCATTCATGCCCCTCCCCCAGGTAACAGGTTGACGCAGTCCCACTGCCTTTCCCCTAGGTTTAAAGACACAACCACCAACCGCAATTTGGAGACTGCATATGAGCGTAGTGATACACCCAGGGCACAGTGTCCGCGGGCTCCCGTACCACGTGTGCGCCGCCTCAGCCTGCGTCTCGCCCGCGCACGCGGCGCCCGCTGCTCACGTCTAGGCACGCTCTCCGGGTTGCCGGGCGGGTGTCAAGGAACGCGCAGGCGCGGACGTCCACGCCCACGCACGCACGCACGCGCCGAGGCGCCCCGGGGCGTAACCCCAATCACCGCCACTGCCTAAGGTGCGGCCGGCCTGCCGGGGTTTCTGGTGAGCCCTCGGGAGCAAGGTGTGCACACGACTGCAGCGTGGGCAGCCTTTTTTTTTTTTTTTCCTATAAACTGGTTATGCTCAGATTGAGGGAGCAGTTTTGTCACACAGGTTCACCGTGTAACACGCTGGTCACAAGCTAGCAAGGTCAGGCGGCGATTTTTCGCCCACTTGTTCGAAACCCACTGGTTTCTGCCTACCCTGCTTTTCGCTTTTTCTCCTCGCTCCGAAGGGCTGCAGCCTTCTGGAGCTGACTCAGGAGAGAGGCGTCCAGACCTAAATACGGGTCACACCTGCTGCCGAGAGAGGCCTCTGCATAAAAATGCTCTTTAAATTTTTTAAAAAGCAATATAATGGCCAATGGACTTAACAAAGCGTGACTTGCCCAGGCCGCACGGAAGGCAGCTCTGGCAGTCATCTGTAATTCGACCAGTTAACGTCTCGGACGTGCCTCTTCGTAGAGATATTAGCAAACGTTTTCAAGGATGTGGCTGTCAGTTGTCATTAGCTAACCCCTGCTCACCGAGCCTTTTGCTTAACTGGAAGGAGGGCATGGCCAGGGCATAAATGCGTAGAATATTGGGGGGAAGGAGTCTTGTGTCAGAGTTTGTCCCCAGTAATAGCCACATGTCCCTAGCTGTACAGACATTTATCAAATAAAAGCTGGCACATGAGCAGTGGGCTACAGAGACGTGGGAAGGGGAGCTTCTTAAGACTAGAAATGGGTATGAAAGTCATGCAAGTCTTTTCCAGGGTGGAAACTCCCCAGTTCTGACAGGTCTACTTTATAGGTGGAGTGGAGGATCGAGTCGAGCCAGTGAGTCCTAGCGCTCACCGAATGAACCCTCTGGTTCTGAGCGCTGGAATCTGGTGTCCGGTCGCTTAATTAGAGGCCCGGCAGCTCTGAAACACCTGGTTGTGGGCGAAGAGAGTGCAAACCGTAATCCGAGTTTCTGAGAAAACAGGACTTTAGATCGCTTCGACACAGTGGTGGGTTTTAAACTGTCGACAGCTTGTTCTGGGTTTGGAAACGGCCAGGTAGGAGTTGTATAAAACAGCTGGGAAAAGCCCAGCCAATACAAAGTAAACAAGGATCAAACGAAACCAAACCTCAGGGCTCCATTAGCTGGTCCTCGTCAAGTAAACAAACAAAAAAACATAAAAAATGCCGGTGCTAACGTCGAGATAAAAGCATCAATCTTAGACCAGGATGAATTTTGTGTATATGTTATCCTTTCTGATAAATGATTTTGCCAAGTGACCAGGTGAGAAACCTGTTAGTTAGGGCTATTTATTCTCTTACACACACACACACACTCTCTCTCTCTCTCCACCCTCCTCCCCCCAACTCCCCAATATCCGGACTAAACAAAACAGCCACAACAAAGCAGTGCTTACCAATGTGAGATTTCTTTGCAATGAGCGTACCATGTGTCAAAGAGAAGGTAAGATTTTTTCATTTCTTAAGTTTTAAGGCTCTCATTTTCAAGATAGAATTCTTTTGGCCAAGAATACCTAAAAATAGGGAGCTATCAAAATTTGAGGCAGAAGCACAGCTTCCTTGTTTCAAATAGGTTGTTTCACACACTTTCCCTTTTGCTGTTCTTAGGGAGGCAGCCACAGACATGAGCCCTACCAACAACATGGGCCCAGAGTGACTCATTCACTTTTATGTTCAATCTAAATATTCTTTTCTTCTTCAAAGATAAGGGCCATTCAAGACAATGGGGCCAAATAATCCAAAGAAGGATCAAGCTGATCAGGGTCCCTGTGACCTTTTACCCTTCCTTTAATTCTCAATAGTGAACATCTGTGTTTGGTGGCCAATGTCTGAAAGTCATAAGGACAATTCTAATTTTTTGGGCGGGGGTGACTGTTGGGTGCCAGTGCAGAGAGATTAAATCTTTGTCTATAACATCACTTTGCAGGATGAAAGTAGGGGAACATCATTCACTAAGACTTACTGCTTCACAGGCCCTGAGGAATGGAGTGTAGTAATTATGTACACTGAAGTTATAGGTAATTCATATTGCTCCTTTCTTCCCCATATTTTTAGTCTGTGGGCATTTTTGTTTTTTTAACAATCCTGTCATTTGTCACCTCTACACCAGGAAAAGAAGATAATATCCACCTTTCTCCAGCCTTGTTCTGGGTTTACTAACAACTGTAAGGACTGTTCAATTAGGTTGAAGACATTTCTCTCACACCTAAAAACAAACGTCAAACCAAACCAAACATGACAAAACACAAATACTCACCACATGTTAATCAATTTATTGAAAAGCCTTTCCACCTTTAGAGTGTAAAACTGCAAAGTTCGCTAATCTTGAGCCTATTCGAAAGAGTCAATGATCTAAAAGAATAAGATATTCCAGAG